GTAATACTAGCATAGTTATTTACCTTCATGTTTTTATGAGTGGGTAGTTTCCAACACTAAATAATTTCTTTATTATTGTTAATATTTCCATTACGTTCATTGTTATTATTATCTTACCTCTCTCAATTCCCTGGTCTTCTCTGCCACTGTGCACACCAAGCGAGAATGAAAGCACCAGCGAGTCGGAGCTGCCCGTGGAAGCCTATGCTGGCAAATATCATCCAGTAGCTTGGTGCGCTTTGCTGAGCGGCTGAAAAAGGTGGCCAAGCCAGAGAGGTGGGAGAAGAGGACCTTACACTCTCTTATCTGATGATACCCAATTGTATCTCAGCACCACTCCATCCTCCCAGCTCCCCCCTCAGTCTCTCATCAACTGCCTGCATGACATCAAAGCATGGATGTCATGCAACTATCTGAAACTAAACAGCATGAAAACAGAGCTCATGGTTGTGGCACCCAAGGCCCTGCTCCAGAAGGTTGGTGACTTCGTCCTTGAGGTTGACGGCTGCTCCATCTCCCCATCTCCTGAAGCCCGCAACCTGGGTGTCATCCTCGACTCCACCCTTTCCTTCCATTCCCACGTCAAATCTGTGACCAAATCTGCCTTTTATCACCTGAGGAACATTGCCAGACTCCGACCGTCACTCTCGGAGTCGGTTGCCGAAACCCTAGTCCATGCATTTGTCACCACCCGCTTGGACTACTGCAATGGTGTCCTGTTCGGGGTTCCCAACAAAACACTGGACAGGCTCCAGTATGTCCAAAACTGTGCTGCTAGGGTACTCACGCACACAAAACCGTGGCAGCACATCACTCCCACCCTCATCCACCTACACTGGTTGCCGGTCAAGTCCCGCATATCCTACAAAATCCTCCTCCTTACCTACAAATCCCTCCATGCCCTTGCCCCCCAGTACCTATCGGACATCCTTCACCCACATGCCCCACCCCGGAACCTGCGGTCCTCAGACTCTGGCCTGCTTACCACCCCCCGCACCAAACTGCGAACCTACGGGGACAAAGCCTTCAGTGTGGCAGCCCCCACCCTCTGGAACGCTCTCCCTGCGGAGATAACGCAACATCCCCACACTTGAAGCCTTCAAAAGGGCCCTCAAGTCCCATCTGTTTGCCAAGGCTTTCGGCCCCTAAATCGATCTGTTGTTCTGTTTGTCTGTCTTTTGTTTTGTTATGTTTGTCTTTGCACTATTACTTGTGAAGCGACCTTGGGTCCCCTGAAAGGCGCTATAGAAATCGAAGCTATTATTATTATTATTATTATCTTGGAAGCTCCCTTTGACAAGACGAGATTTAAGATGTGAGCATAGCAGCGAATGAAAAGGGCCTGTGGAATTGTTTCCTTAACTTTCGCTTGCACCCCATTCAATCCAGAGGCCATAACAGCTGCTCCATCGTAGCACTGCGCGACCACTTTGTCAATACAGCCACTCTCCCTCAGGAACTCCAGCAGCCGTGTAGCTATGGCCTCTGCTCGTTTGTCCTCTGTCACATCTTCGTACTTGAAGAAACGCTCTTTTATCCCATCGTCAGTGACATATCGAAGCACATATGACATCTGCGCCACGTTGCTAATGTCTGTCGTTTCATCCAACATGACCGCGACAAAAGGTGCCTTCCTCAGCTCCTCTTTCATGCTATCCGTCATTACACTAGCGACAGCGCTGATCAGGTCATTCTGAATCCTTGAAGATGTGCCGGTAAATACTGTTGATGTGGCGAGGTGTGTGTGCAGGTCGCTGTCATATTCTGCCACTAAATCCAGCAACTCTATGTAATTCCCCTTGTTTGATGAAGTTACACTCTCATCGTGACCTCGGAATGGCAACTCCTGCTTGCCCAAGTACACCACACAATTTATCAGGCGTTTCAAAATTCCTCTGTTCCTCTTCACCTTTTCATTATGAAGGATGACACCCCGGCGTTGTTGCTCATCCAGCTGGAGCTCTATCCTGGTGTCCCCAAATATTTTAAGCCGAATAGTAGCTCTGAGGTGACCTGAAGCATTCTGATGGCGATGTGCTGATTTGGATAAACTTCCTAAATCAGAATATCCATCTCTGGCCCATGACCCACTGTCCGCTCCAAAAAGCAAGCAATCCCAGCAGTACAGCTTTTGTTCCCTGGTTGATCCGGTCATCCAGTTGTATCTGGCGTAATTGCCGATATTAAAATGCCTCTCGAACCGTTTGGTTTTTTGAACCAAATTAAGCTGTGGTATTGGTCGCCCTTTGGTAATTAACTCCAATTTATCAGTGTAACTCATTCTTGAAAAAGACTCGGTTAGTAGTTTCGCAACGATGTCATCACTATCACTAACGTGAGCCATCGTGAATATGCTAATTACGCCTAGCTTGACCCGTTGATATATCACATGCATAAACTTGGCAGCGCAGCGGGCGGAACTTGTCATAAAGTCCGCGATAATAAAGCCCTCCCATTTAGAGGGAAGATATGATTGATCAATTGTACTGTCACTTGACATTACTCTCTCGTTGTTTTACTATAGCGGGCCCTCTGTGAATCGCATAGAGGGCCAGACAAGCTTTTTTCATGTAACCCTTCACATTCAAACAGAAACTGAACAGGCAGATTCGAAGGATTTATTTCTTTGGAAATTTTATTTTAAATACAATTAAATCAAGTTTTTTCGGTAAAACTAATGAAAAATATAACAAAATTATATTTAAAAAATATATATTTAAAAAAATATATATATATTTTTAAATGTTTTTAAATATTATTTTTTAGAATATCTTAGGCCCTCACAGCCCTGACGGCTCGCCACTGGTGTACTGCCATATGTGCCGGTGTATACCTGGGCATTGCATGGAAGACTTGCAGTCTGCTGGCCTTATGCTGCTTATTTTCAAGCGAACACACACACACACACAACACAACACACACACACACACACACACACACACACACACACACATACACACACACACACACACACACACACACACACACACACACACACACACACACACACACACACACACACACACACACACAGTATTTTTAGCTGGCCTGAAGCCTGGGATTGTTTGTGAGCAAAATGAAAAAAAAGACAGGAGATTTAGAAACCATTGTCTTTAGGTATTTTACACGTTGCTAAAGGAGCAGACTCCATCTTCACCAGAATCATTATTCAGACAATATTCGGCAAATTGGTGCTGTGGGAACCAACACACGGGCATCGGTCACCAGGACGTCCCGCACAAGCATACGTGGACGTACTCAAGAATGACGTAGGAGCACAAAGTACCAATGAACTGGCCAGATGTATGGAGAACCGGGATAACTGGAAACAACGATGGAGGGCTCGTCTGAGGACGACCTAGAGAGAGCCGTTCTCCCTCCAAAAAGTCCCATTAAACATGCAAATCTTCCTTCAAGCAATCCTCTGCATTTTTTACCCTTTCAGTCAACGGGCTCTTCCTGGGCCTCATCAACATCACACTCTGAGTCTTCCTCTTCAGTGTCACTGTCCAGCCTTGTTGAGGATGGCTCTGTGTCCGGCTCAAAGAGCCTTACGGTACGTCCACACTGCAGCTTTTCAAAAATCTCAAAAATCTTGGAGCTGGGCGTGTCTGAAAGCTTGGGGATTTTTTGCGGGCAACGAGACCAACAACCAATCACATGAATCTCCCGCCCCCGACATACAAAGCAAAAAACCCCGGGGATTTTATGCGAGCAATATATATATATATATAAACTCCCCAAACAGGCGAAAACCTACCAGTTTCACCCACTGTCTCTGCCACCTCCCTCCATGCCTGGTTCCTCCGGTTTGTATCCCGTTAATAGTTCTGGTCGTAAAGAACCGGGTGATTTGCTACCGTAATTTCTCGTTTGGAATATGAGGAAATGAACTGCGGTCTGGCTCTCCCTGCTTACACGCGGTTTGATTGGCTAGCGCTTCTACTGTCAGATTTGCATAAACGGGATTTGATTGGCTGACGCTTCCAGCTCAGCTTCAAAAGTAGAACATTGCTCAACTTTTGAATCCTGAAAATCCTGGAAATCCTGGAAATCTTCGCTTCGCTCCCCCACAATGCAGTTCGGCGACAAGCGAGGCAAAGTGACGTCATCCCCATTCAAAGTCAATGGACAGAGAAGCGTTGGAAACGGTTGAAGATTTGTTTAAAGCTGCAGTGTGGACGTACCGTTAGGTTTGCCCGAATGCCAACCAGTTGTTCCACTCTCACATCTGTGAGCCTGTTGCAGTGTGCTATGGCATGGATATTCAAGTGTACTTGAATGGCATCTGTTTGTTTTAGTCAAGATTATGCTAACATATACTTTCCCCAACTATATTGAAGTTCCCTATGAAGAGCCAACTTTCAATTTGGAAAATTCCCACAAATTCCCGTTAATTCCCATGAAAAGTTTCCATCTTTGAAAATTCCCGGAATTTTGCAACCCTACTGACCTGATAGATCATCCAGTCAGAGTCCAATGTAGATCTCTGAGTGGTGTAATCTCCTTTGGTGTAAGACATCATCATGACAACACAGTTTTAGGGAACGCTTTAGGGCATCCGGTCGCTTGCTCAAGGGCACCATGGCCCGGGAGGTGAACCAAGTAGCAGTCCACACTCCATATTTAGGTCTGTTCGGGGACTTGAACCGGTGACCCTACGGCTCACAGTCGAAGGCCCTACTGACATTAACACTTATTGTCAGTGAAAATAATAATATGAAATACATTTTAAAAAATGTGAATAAGGGAAGCAGCTTTCAATCTGCTCAATGGGACACTTTCCCACTGACACAAGGTAAAAAAGAAAAATTGTATTAGGACTGAAACATTTGCTGAAACACAAAGTCTGCTCCTACCTGTGAACAAATAACTGAAGTTCAATGTTAGATTATTATGAAATATACATGCTATTTTCTTGTCGGATAAACTACAAAGATACTGGAAGTGCCATCGTACATGTTTCCTTTCCTTCAGCGTCCTTTGTTCTGTGTTCCCAGCAGACAGATGAAGCCGCTCAGACAGACAGTCAGCCTTCATCACAGACGGTCCCTGAAAGCACCGACAGCAAGGCCCAGCCCAAGAGACTGCACGTATCCAACATCCCCTTCAGGTTCAGAGACCCAGACCTCAGGCAAATGTTCGGCGTGAGTACTGAATCAAATTTATTAAATGTTCATGTTGATGTTTTACATTTGGATTTAAACAAAAAACAGGAATTAAAAAGGGTTGGGTTTAAATGTTCTGTTAGACCAATCACAACAATATAAATCAATCACTGAGAGTTTCTCTTTTGTTTGTCTTCACAGCAATTTGGCAAAATCTTAGATGTGGAAATCATCTTCAACGAGCGAGGTTCTAAGGTACATGGTGTTTTTTGTGTTAGCATGTCTAAAAAATATTTTGTTGTGGTCCAGAAAAATTGGCACAGCGAAGTAATACTGTTGGCTCTGATTATTTGTGTTAGCTCAAATGTTCTTTATAATTCTCTATAAAAAACCTCACTGTATTGTTCACTTTTTAAACCCAAAAGCTAATATTAGTGTTTAATAGTGTTTTATTGAAATCTCCTCATTAGAAGAATATCCTTCTTTCATAGACTTATGTATATAAAATATTAAAATCACTTCCTTTCAGAATATTATATATGTTTTTCTGCTCTTATCTTGTGTGCTATACGTTTGATTATTAGTGTCATCTTTTGTATTATCTTTGCTGATGCCATGCCATTATTTTGGTGCATTTGATTTACTCTCTTGTACTTCTTTAGACAAATATTTTTTCCCAACTACATTGCCAACATGAGAATATTGCAGTGTATGATTTATATCTATCTACATTATGCAATAATCATAGACCTCTGCTATGAAAGCAGACATTTATTATTAATGCATGTTATTAACCCCTTGAGACGGGACAGTGCAGGTAATGAAAGGGGAAACGTGTGAGGCTTCAGTTCCAATCACTAACCATTGTGAATAAAATGTCTTACAGACAGTATTCGATTTTTCATTGTTCGCTTATACATTTTTACTGACTTATGTTCTATATGAATTAAAATGGCCGTTCACAAGGTATTAGCTCCCAACAGCCATGGTCAACCATTGCAACAAAAACGACAGGCTCTCAAGCTTTTCACTTCTGAATATGACAAAGCAGTGTATGGGGCTCTAGTGAGAGCGATAATAAATATCAAAGTTGGGAGGGTTGTATCTTCTAATCACCTGTAAGGAATGGTTTGCCTGGGGTGTTATACTAGCTGCAGTATGCAATGCAATGTTAGCATTAGTAAAACCCCATTCCAGACTTGAACATCCACTGCATACACAGTATACACTTACGGAGTTTGAGCTTACCATAGGAGCGGCTGCGTCTGCAAACATAGACCACAAAAACAACAACCAAACTTGATATGTTGCCTAGAACACGCAGGTTTAGCCTCAGTCTTTTAGCATGCTATCATGTTCGTAGCACTTGGGTGCAAATTGAAGACCCATTCGAAAGGTTACCACTTTAAAATGATCCAGCCAACTACTCAAAGTTAAATTACGACCAGAAAAATCAATGTTCTCTGACTAAGAATGGCAATACTGATGTCGCACCCGTACAACCCAACCCAGTCTCATGGCATTTCGTGTTCACCAACACGATTTTTAATCTATTGATTCGTGTTCACCAACACGATTTCCCCCTTTTTTTCGTGTTGCACAGCACGATTTTAAAAGCAATGTATTTCTACTGGTAATGTGTTTCGTGCCTGCAGCACGTATTTTTCTCCGGTCGGGTCGTGGAAGACCGGAGCTGTGTGGTTCATAAAAACATGTTCTTACTCAATATCAAGCCACAATTATTGCTTTCATTTTAAATCGTATAATTTCGACTTTTGTTTCCGTCTGTGAGGAAAATAAATGGGGCTCAGAGCCTCAGAATACTGAAATCTGTATTTTTTAAATATTTTTTACCTTCTAATTTGTTATTCTTTTCAAAATAACACACTGTTATTTACTCACAAATAACACACAATTATCCTTGCTTTTATGTATTGGTTTAATTCCATAATCTCTGGCTTTTTTGGCGTCCGTCAGGAACTGAATTTCAAAATAAAAATAACCGGAAACAGACGTTTGCGATTACCCAAGATCCTCAGCTATGGTTTAAGCTCGCTGATTGGATGTTTTAGCCGCAATGCATGCTGGGATTTGGTGTTTATATGATATGATATCCGGAAAACATTTTAAAAGAATAAAATAATACTTAATTCCGAGTGCTCTTGCTTTTCTCTTTGAAAGTCATCACATAACGGCATTGTAATACACGGTTCGGCTGCATTACATATTACAGATCTGCCGTAGTTCTTTATTTATAGAGCCCTGATGAGAAGACCTTTGGAAAAACTGAAGAAATGCCGCCGAAACTGAATACTTGATGTGGATCATAAATATATCAACAATTAAACAACATCTTCAATTTCTCTTCACACAATACGTCTCCTTGCTGTATCAACACTAATTTGGCTGACTTTTACATTTGATCTAATTCATAGATAGGTTATATTTACACCATAACGGTGCACAGCTGATATAAAATGACTTAGTTTTTAAAGATATTACTGATTTTCTTTGAATGTAAGAATGTAAATACTGAGTCTGAAATAGTATAGCAATATGCTGTAAAATTATGTGAAAGCATGAATAAAACTACACATCTTCAGATGTTGTACATAAGTGTCCTACACTAATAATACACAGTTATTATGGCTGTGTGTACCTTGTGTGCACCTCCTAGTGGTTAAAGCACGTTATTGAATTATTGTTTTTATGTGTTATATTTGATATACATACTTTCATAGGGGGAAAGTAGAAGGTCTGTGATAGAAATATAGAATATAAAAAATCAAGAAGATACTATAAGTGATCTCTACAATAAAACAGTTTAGTGCAGGATGTACAAAGATATTAATATGAGGATGTGCAAAACAGACAAACTAATTAAACTTTATTAACACATTAAATAATACTTTAGGTTAAGGTCTTCTTTTAAATAAGAAAAAAACTTAATAAATATTAAGCCTGACAAAGTACTGAACGTCTAATATATTGCTTTCCTGCAATGTTAACTATGTTGAAGCACTTATTTTAACTGATATTATACACATTAATTATACTCTTATGTATGTAGATAGTATAAGAAATGTGCAGAATATGACAGTTTAATGGTGGAGGTACACACATATCGATAGATGTCTTGTAATGCACTGTTGAGGAACCTGTGACCCAAGTTTTTCATTCATTGCATAACTACACCGTAGTTGTGTATATGATATGTCAATAAACCTTTGAAAATCTTGAAATCCTGAAAGGGATGTGCAAAATAGCAATTATATACAGTTTTTAATTAACTATTAGTAGAACAATAACGAGTAATGAATATACTTTATAGAGATCTGCAGGTAAATGTTTAGTCTTCTCAAGCACCAACTATCAAATATCCTGATTGTTGGCACTTGACAATCACCTTCCCTGAATTTTACTCAGGTGTAACCAGGGGTGGACTGGCCATCTGTTATACCGGGCAATCCCGGTGGGCCGTTGACCCAATGTGGGCCGGTCCGCTATGTTTTTTTTTATTTTCTATTTTTTCTCTAAATTCCCTCCAATTGGGCCGGCCAATTGGCTACAGAGGGCTAGCAAGGTGTTGCAAGCATCAACACATATTATTGGTCTATTGTTTGTCATTGTCAATCAATCATGGGCTGACAGGCTCAGAGAGCCCTGATAGTGCTGTCAATCACAACACAAACCAGGGTGGGGCGGGACCTCATGGCATGGGCGGGAGTCGCGGGACGGGCTGCTGCTGAGCTGAAAATGGATAAGCGGAAGAAACGCCCGGGTGGCGCTGAAAAACTGCGACTTAAAAAGCTGAAGTCTCTGGAGGTGGAGGCTGCTAAATATTCTAAATTGACGGACCTATTTGGTGCCGGGGTCACCACCCCAGCAGGTGCTGCTGCGCCGGGAGACGAGCGAGTGGAGGCATACATGGTAAGTAACGTTAGCCTGGGGCTGGCGAGGCTACATTTTTGAGACATGTCCAAAAAAAAAGTAGAAAACATTTTTACATTGAATGTGATGTGACCTAATTAACTGCATAGTCCGCCTTGTGACAACATATTAGCCCAGAGTTGAAGGGCTGTGAATGTTGGTAGTTGTGGTTGATTTTGTTTAAATATGCCGAATTGTGATATTATGGGTTATTATTGTTCAAATGATTTAGCTAGGCTAGCTAAGAGCTGCTAACGTCAGCGGTCTCTTGTTGCCAGTAAACGTTCACATGGACCAACAAGCTGTAAGTAGAGATGCAGAATCAAGCTGTATTGTTAATACAGATGAGATACTTTGAATTTTAGCACAAAATACAAGTAAACCTATAGGAAATAATTAGTTTAATTTTCAATATTTGCCATTGAATTTATTGTAATCTTTCAATTCATTTATTGTTTACTGAGGTGATAACTATTTCATAATTTGTGTGTAACTTTAATTTCTGTGTAAATGTGTTACTTTTACTGTAGTTTTCAAATGGCTGTGTATAGTGCTGTCTTGAGCATTTTCAGGTATTGTCACAAAGATCTGACTTTTTTGCATTGGAAAACACTAGTAAGTGTCATAATGAAAACATGGCAAAGCCACTAGTGTTGTTACGCTCGCGAACGTTTCGTTCAATATTAACTAATCTTTTATCTTGTACATTATTCTGTGGTTTTGAGTTATTTCCCCATCCAATGATAAATGCTTTCCCTATGTCCAGCCCAGACAGGTTCAGGGCAAGTCCAGCTGGTCAATTCAGGGAGAGAGCCAGACCAATTCAGGCAGCCCAAAGACTGCACCACCTGAGAGGGAAAAGGCTGTAGAGAGTGAGGAGTGTGTCAGCCCAAAGACTGCACCACCTGAGAGGGAAAAGGCTGTAGAGAGTGAGGAGTGTGTCAGCCCAAAGACAGGATCACCTGAGAGGGAAAAGGCTGTAGAGAGTGAGGAGTGTGTCAGCCCAAAGACTGCACCACCTGAGAGGGAAAAGGCTGTAGAGAGTGAGGAGTGTGTCAGCCCAAAGACAGGATCACCTGAGAGGGAAAAGGCTGTAGAGAGTGAGGAGTATGTCAGCCCAAAGACAGGATCACCTGAGAGGGAAAAGGCTGTAGAGAGTGAGGAGTATGTCAGCCCAAAGACAGGATAACCTGAGAGGGAAAAGGCTGTAGAGAGTGAGGAGTGTGTCAGCCCAAAGACAGGATCACCTGAGAGGGAAAAGGCTGTAGAGAGTGAGGAGTGTGTCAGCCCAAAGACTGGATCACCTGAGAGGGAAAAGGCTGTAGAGAGTGAGGAGTGTGTCAGCCCAAAGACAGGATCACCTGAGAGGGAAAAGGCTGTAGAGAGTGAGGAGTGTGTCAGCCCAATGACAGGATCACCTGAGAGTGAAACAGCTGTAGAGAGTGAGGAGTGTGTCAGCCCAAAGACAGGATCACCTGAGAGGGAAAAGGCTGTAGAGAGTGAGGAGTGTGTTAGCCCAAAGACAGGATCACCTGAGAGGGAAAAGGCTGTAGAGAGTGAGGAGTGTGTCAGCCCAATGACAGGATCACCTGAGAGTGAAACAGCTGTAGAGAGTGAGGAGTGTGTCAGCCCAATGACAGGATCACCTGAGAGGGAAAAGGCTGTAGAGAGTGAGGAGTGTGTCAGCCCAATGACAGGATCACCTGAGAGTGAAACAGCTGTAGAGAGTGAGGAGTGTGTCAGCCCAAAGACAGGATCACCTGAGAGTGAAACAGCTGTAGAGAGTGAGGAGTATGTCAGCCCAAAGACAGGATCACCTGAGAGGGAAAAGGCTGTAGAGAGTGAGGAGTGTGTCAGCCCAAAGACAGGATCACCTGAGAGGGAAACAGCTGTTGAGAGCTATGAGTGTGCCAGTCAAATAACAGATTTTTTTTCACAACCTGATCAGAAAAATCTCCAGTCATTTTTAAATTACCATCCTCAGCAAAAAAGTAGCAATCCAGTGGTGCAGAAAGTGTTCTGTAGCAGAGACGGCACCAGTAGAAGGTGACTGACGTACTGTCCAGAGCGTCACATGCTGTATGGTTTCATCTGCATGGCATTCGGTTAGAGAACTGATAGCAGTCTGTTCATCAGTGGAATGTCAGATTGGAGGCATATACACCAGCGCACAGAGGAGCATGAGAGAAGCAGTGCACACAGAAACTGTGCTGAAGCTTACCTCTTGAAATCCGCCAGTGCTGATATCAGCAGTGTGTTTGGTGGCAGTCAGATGTCGGCGCACAGAGAGCAGGTCAGAAAGAGACGGCAGGTTTTGGAGCGCATCATAGATGTCATCAAGGTTCTTGGGAAGAGGGGGCTTGCATACAGGAGGTCAGAAAATGAGGCAGCATATACTCTGGAAGACCACACAGTTGATCATGGTAATTTCTTGGAACTCATACTTCTACTGGGGAAGTATGATTTCTGTTTAAGAGAGCACCTGGACAGCTGCATTGAGAACAGCAAAAAGTTGCATTTGTCTGGTGGCACGAGAGGCAGAGGCTACTTTGTAACTTTGCTCTCCAAAACCACAGTGAACTCAGTGATAGATGCAATTCACCATCTGATTCAAGAAAACATCTCCAGTGATATCAAGAAAGCAGGAATGTTTTCAGTGCAGCTGGACACAACGCAGGACATCACCTCTCAGGATCAATGCTCTATAATTATGAGGTATGTTACTGATGTTGTTCATGCTTGTTGCAGTGCTGAAGTGCAGTTCATCCACTGGACAGACCTTTGTCAACATGCTGTCAGAAGTTCTGGACAAAATGGGCCTCAGCAAGACCATGTGCATTGGAAATGCGACTCATGGGGCATCAAACATGCAAGGCCAATACAAAGGATTCTCCTCACTGTTGTCTGCACAATCTCCAAACCAGGTGCATGTATGGTGCTACGCACATGTACTAAATCTGGTGCTTGCAAACACAACCCAGATTGTTATTGAGAGTGGGTCCCTGTTTGCGCTCCTCAATGGCATTGCGGTATTCATCAAAGAGTCATATAAAAGGATGAATGTGTGGGAAGAGTCAGGCCGAAACAAGAGACGTAGACGCCTTGCTCCTATTGGCGAGACACGCTGGTGGGCCAAGCATGAGGCCCTGAAGAAGAGACACGCTGGTGGGCCAAGCATGAGGCCCTGAAGAAGAGACATGCTGATGGGCCAAGCATGAGGCCCTGAAGAAGAGACACGCTGGTGGGCCAAGCATGAGGCCCTGAAGAAGAGACACGCTGGTGGGCCAAGCATGAGGCCCTGAAGAAGAGACACGCTGGTGGGCCAAGCATGAGGCCCTGAAGAAGAGACACGCTGGTGGGCCAAGCATGAGGCCCTGAAGAAGAGACACGCTGGTGGGCCAAGCATGAGGCCCTGAAGAAGAGACACGCTGGTGGGCCAAGCATGAGGCCCTGAAGAAGGTGTTTGGCTCCTTTGGAAAACCCGAAGATGGTCTGTACGTTGATGTGCTGCTGACATTATCAGCTATACAGAAACAGGCAACAGTGAAACCATGTATCCGTGTCATGGCCAGAGGATATGCAGAGTCATTGCTCAAGTATGAGACGATCTTGACGGCTCAAATCTTCCTCCGCATATTTGAACATACCTCTCCATTGTCTAAATACCTTCAGACGGCAGGATTGGACATCCTCTCTGCTCACAGAATGGTGGCATCGACACAGGATACGCTGAAAAGCTTGGGAAGAGATTTTGAATCTGTAAAAAAAGCAGCAGACACATTTGTCAACTGGACAAACACAGAAATCCAAGAGAGAGATGACACGGACATTGAAGTGGAGGCCACACTGCCACAAAAGAGGAGGAGGATGAAGAAAGTCTTGCCTGGAGAGATGGCTCAGGATGAGACCCTGGATGATGCAGAACAATCCTATGAGGTGAATGTGCATAACCGGATCATGGACACAGCAATTGAAGCCATTCATAGGCGCTTTTTAACACACTGCAATCTATATGCTGACTTGGCATGTCTGGATCCCAGTGCTCTTCCCTCAGCTCTGCACCAGTGCTCTTCCCCAGTCTGCCCTTCAAGACTTAAGCAAGTGCTTGCAAGGATTTGACAGCAGGGCAACCAAGGAAAATATGCAGGCCGAGTTGAAAAGCTTTGCACTCCAGTGGAACAGGCTGAAGGCATCCCCATTGGCAGAGTACAAAGCAAGAACAGTAGAAGATGGATCAGGTGGTGAGGAGGAGGACAACACAGAAGAGGTTGAGATAACTCCCATAAGCTGTTGCTCCTGCAAAGAATGCCCTCTGTGCTGCTACCAGATACTTCGCCGTTTCAACATGCTAACAGATGCATACCCTGTCCTAGGCCTGGCTTATACATACCTGCTTACATTATCCCTCACACAGGTGGCTTGTGAGCGCACATTTTCAATTTTGAAGTTTATTCAAAACAGACTCAGAAGCACCCTCTCATCTGAGAAATTGGAGGCATTTATGTTGATGGCCACAGAGAAAGACATCCTCATGGCCTTGGACTCTGACTCTGTGATAGACAGACTTGCAGAGAAGAGTGAGCTGCTTAAAAAGCTGCCCCACTGATAAGGCCAGAAATATTTCATATTATTGTTATTATCACACATCACACATTATGGATGTAGTAATTCATTATTTGTCATTTGAATGATGCTTTTCAGAAGTGTTATTGTGCTTATGTGTTGATCCTTAATGGTGTGATCATGAACACTAAATGATCAATTATTCTCCATTACAGGTTGTTCTGATATATTTGAGGAGTCGTTCTCCCTCTGTTCTATATGTGGACTTGTTCTCTCATTTGGGACCACTGTTAGAATTTGGTAAGTTTATCATGTATTTTTTAATGTTGTATAAATTCATACTTCATAATTTTAAAAAAGTTTTGAAAGAAACGCACATCCCAAACGTTTTCAACTCTAGGTGCAGGACAGAGGAAAACATTTTATTTATTTTTCAGACTTAATAATGTATCCAATTCCCTCTCAGGTTGACCACTTGACATGTGAGAGCTTGAGTAGTTGTTCCCCCTCCGTCCATGTTCGAGGATTTGCTCCACTGTTGAGTATGTCATGTGTCTTATAATGTTATATGAATTCATACTTGATTTGTGATGATGAGAGACTTAACAATGTTTCCATGTCTCTTTTAGGTTGACCACCCTATATATGAGAGCCTAAGGAGTTGTTTTCCCTCTGTCCCCTTTTGAGGACCTGCTTTGTCTCCTCCATCATTCACTGGGCCACTTTTTGGTTCCTGGGCTTATTTCATGTGGTGAGAGGAATGCAATATGTGTATGTTTAAAGGTTTATGTGAAGAAACATACTATGTGTGTGATAAAATGACAGTTGGTAAATCATAAATGTCTCTTTATATTCTCTGCTACCATTATCACCTGGCAAACAGGTTTTCCTGACCTGCTAGAAGTTCTTCTATGATGCTTGAGGCATCCATCATATCTGAGAGCTTCGTCTTGACTGTGAGTTTATTATGCAACTTGTTTTGTCTCAGATTGAAACAAAAGGTTTGATTATGATTATTTCCTGGCTGAAGATTTTCATATTGATGGTTTTAATTTCAAACATCTGCATATCTTTTAAGTTCAATGAACAGTTATGCAGGTAGGCCTTAGGGCTCTTTTGAGACTTAAGTCATCCTTCATGACAGATACATGTGTTCACTAAGTGTCACTACGTCACAAAAAGGCTACATGGCTACATATACTTGTCAGTACACAGATACTGAGTACAAGTTCTGTTTGCTGTTTCTTGCAGGTCACGAATTTGGTGAGGAGTAGAGCTGGCTGTCTGCGGACCAGGAAGTAGAGCAATACATACTTGTGCACATACACGTATATGAGAATGCATATCTATTCAGACCTGTCTTAGACTTTTCACACAGCTATATATATATTTTTTTTTCCAATTCTCTATTTATGGTTTCATAATGACTGAGTCACCGTTGAGTGAGTGAGTTTCAGCTCTAATGCTGCTACTGTCTGTAATATGTTTCTATTTAGATTATTTGTCAGGATATTTTTTTGTTATTATTGTCCGAGTCTGGTTTTAACTAATACTGGGCTTACACCAAAAGATTTTCACAGTCACAGACTAAAAACTGAAAGGGTAGCATAAGGGTTCTTCCCATTTGTCTTGTCCCACCCCTAGTCATGACATAACTTCTGTTGTGATTTGACACTATAATGAATAAAGATTGATTGATTGATTGCTATAGCTGTCAATTGTAGTCCTTGAGTTCATAGTTAAGTGCTTTATTTGTTGACTGCTATCAAGGAATATGACTCTCCTTTGTAGTATGCATGAGAGAAGATGCCGCGAGATTAGTGGACTTCTATGTAGTGTCCGCTGATAATGTAGTGGGCTGGTCTGGACAGAAAATGCCAGGGCTGAATTTTTGTCCCAGTTCACCCCTGGGTGTAACTAAAGTCTGATTTAAGGGTTGTTTATATTTCACATCATTAATCAGAACCTGCAAAGTAACTCAAATAAATGTAGTGGAGTAAAAATACCAGGTTAACCTCTGAATTGTAGTGGAGTATAATTACAAAGTAACAATGAGCTGTCATGTGGGTATATATTAATGCTGCGCATTATGGACACAAGCGATTTTCACCCATTTATTAATTATATGTTTTACATTTGATAACACCAATGTGTTTAATACTCGCAAATTCTAATTGTGGGAAAAACGGAAACGTTCAGTAGAGACGTCCCATAGAACATTTTGCGAAACACAATAGCCAGCATGTGTAGTTCTGGGGGGGTGTTCGATTCCAGTTTTGGATAGTCTGGCGTGGTTTCGTTCCATTTCAAACAGCTGTTTGACGCTCGGCGTAACCTTGGCGCACTGCCACTCCAACATCCAATCCCAGAGCTTGAAGATTAATCACGGGGACTGTAGTCCTAAACGATAGCTGGGGATTATGGGTAGTGTAGTGTCTTCGGCCATCCTTAACTCCTAGAGGCCTACGTCTGTTTCCGGTTATTTTTATTTTGAAATGCAGTTCCTGACGGAAGCCAACAAAGCCAGAGATTATGGAATGAAACCAATAAATAAAAGCAAGGATAATTGTGTGTTATTGGTGAGTAAATAACAGTGTGTTATTTTGAAAATAATAACAAATTAGAAGGAAAAAAAGATTTAAAAATACAGATTTCAGTATTCTGAGGCTCTGAGCCCCTTTTATTTTCCTCACAGACGGCAACAAAAGTCAGAAATTATACGATTTAAAATAAAAGCAATAATTGTGGCTTGATATTGAGTAAGAACATGTTTTAATGAACCACACAGCTTCCGGTCTTCCACGACCCGACCGGAGAAAAAGACGTGCTGCAGGCACGAAACACATTACCAGTAGAAATACATTGCTTTTAAAATCGTGCTGTGCAACACGGAAAAAGGGGGAAATCGTGTTGGTGAACACGAATCAATAGATTAAAAATCGTGTTGGTGAACACGAAATGCCATGAGACTGCGTTGTACAACCAGAAATCGCATGAAACCATGTTGTCTACAGGTATAGATTGGTGCAGGACTTAGTCCTGAAACCCATAAGTGAGTCAGTATTTTAACACTTTCATTTTCATTTGGTCAGATGTCTGAAATAATATCTGAGGTTAAAACACGCTTTAGAGATATTCATTATTTGTCCATAAATGATGTCATTAAATACACCAATTGTGAATGAACCAAGCTTCTATGTTTCATAAAAGCAGTGGTTGCTAACAAGTGACAAAATGATCATACTAAATGTTGTCACACCAAACATTTGTCCCCTTTAGCTTAGCGATGGTGATAAGGTCGTAGACTGTCTATAGCCTTAATTATGACTTTAATGCTGGCGATTCCATTAATGCTTCAAAAAAAGTATGATTAACGTGTGTTTCTCAGAGATGTTATTTTCTGCAATGTTCCAAAATCCAATGAAAAAATTCCATTGCTTTTTATCTAGGGTCTTGCCTTTCGATGCTACCTTCCTGGTCAGCCTAAAAATGTATCTCATCACTGTACCACTATGTATTAAAGAATCGAAGGGGCAGGGCTTTTTAAAGCGTCTGTCTCCTCTTATCAATGATTTGCATTTTTGTCCAGACTTGTAATAATATTGTATATTGATTAATATAGCATTCTGAAGAGATACTTGTGTGATCTACTGTGCCTATTTATTGAATCAGGAGGTTGTTCACTGTAATGACGAGTATCACATGTGAAATATAATGTGCATGTTGTTCTTGCCTTTCTCCGTCCTGCATGCAGGGTTTTGGGTTCGTAACGTTCGAGCATAACGTGGACGCCGACAGGGCCAGAGAGAAATTACATGGAACCGTGGTAGAAGGCCGTAAAATAGAGGTGCATGTTCTCAAATACTTCTTCCTTCTCCCTATCCCCCTTTTCCCTGTGTGTGTGTGTGTGTGTGTGTGTGTGTGTGTGTGTGTGTGTGTGTGTGTGTGTGTTGTGTGTGTGTGTGTGTGTGTGTGTGTGTGTGTGTGTGTGTGTGTGTGTGTGTTTGTGTATTTGTGTGTGAGCGTTTGACTGACTACTGCCACATCCCACTTCAAGCCATCCAAGCCGTACCACCTCCCTTTCCTTGTGCATTTTCATTAACCAAACACAAATAATATCCACATATTATATAGAACAACATGATGGTATGATTAATACCTTGCTTGTTTTATTATTAGTTTCTTTACATTTGTTTTCCCTTCTCCTGTTTTCCTTGTTTTTGTACAGCTGAGGCAATTGGCTTTACCAAAGGTTTAAGTGTGAACATCGACACGACCAGGAATTAAAAACGTATTTTGGCCAATATTTTCTATGTTTATTAATGAAAGAAGCTTTCCCGCTGAAATCCAATTTTGCTTATCCACGGACAGAGGAAGTACTTAAGAATTTGAGAGACATGCAAGGTTTACAGCTAAATACTGAATGGCTATTTCAATGTCTTTTGTACCTTAAGAAGAATAAGAGCAGACACCACAAGCCTTCAAGCATAACTCTGTCCATTTATCACAGTGCAGTTGCAATCTTCCATATCTAATCCTTTATACAAGGCAATATCTGCAACTGTACCTAGAGAAGATGCATCATTCCACTATTTTTGGGTTCCTATCCCATACCTGAATTTGCAGATCTATATATAGAAACAATTCCAATACCTTCTTTGCAGATGTAGCAACACAGCCAAAGAACATTCTCCACCATTATTACATACTGTATTTATATTGGTCGTCCAAAACGTTACCCATTATGCAATGATTATATTTTGTGAGATTAGGAACCCAGATACCAATAATAGATTGGATCAGTCTCACCCCTAGTACCTATTGATACAATATCTTCATCTGTATGGCTGTATATGACTATGAGGTTTGGAATGTAGATTGAGATGTAAATAAAGAGCTCTCGGCTTCCTTTTCACCATGCAGACCTGTTACAGTGTATCGATCATTTGATCTTCACTTGAAAACCTGACATATTCCTCACTTGAGGTAGTGACTACAGCCAAACATATTAAGCTAACAAATAGCATTCAAAGTTTCTACAGCACCTTCCTTACTGGGAAGTAGGTATCTCAAGCTGAATTAATCATCAAACCATCAGTCTCTGCAAGGTATACCGTACACCCTAATGCTATAGGCCTAAACCCCTTCTACTATTAGAGTCATTTAAACTGTTGGAACATGTAATGGCACAAGATAATCTCCTAACACAGGAAATCCCATTGCCATCCAACCTCAGCACTTCTTACTCAGTACGTGTCTTTAGCTGACGCTTTTATCCAAAGCAATTTACATTGATTTCAATACAGTAGACATGCCTAAGGACACTTCTCCATGTTGACTGCAGGAGCCACTGTCCCTCGATTGGAACAGGACCATTTACTCCCTAAACCACAGACGTTATCTATCAGCAATGTGCACTTGCTTGTATTTGATGGCGACCGCAGCATCTTGCCAGAAAATGTTCCAACAAAGTCATGAAAAATGTGAACCAGGTTCAACAGTTTTTCTAGGCCTGCATATTTTTGTTGAAGCCCTGAACAACATTCTAACTGCTCAGATCTCTGAAATGCTCTAAACCAATGTTATCCTTCATCTTAAATGACATTTCCTACTGAATTGACATGATCTGACAGCTACAGGATTTAACTCTCATTTGTTTGCAAATAAAGTCTGTGACAATGATGTGCTGAAGCAATGCGTGAGGTATCATCAAAACGTATTAAAAATATTAACAGATCAAAGAAGTTCACCTAACCCTAACCCTACAATCTGATTGCCTTCAGAAATGTTGCTGGTTCTATAGGACTCAATTTGAGAAGTGAGCCAGTATGTAATCTTTTTCTGGAGTATCTCTGAATTGAATCAATCAGTGTTTGGCTAATCAATCAATATAAGGATTGTTGCCTTGGTGGACCTGTATTAATCTCTGACTATTAATCAGACCTACTAATTGATCTATCAGAAACTATTGAGTATAACTGGATCGGCAGGGTCTTACTTGTACTAACTTCTGGAGAACCAGGTTCAATCAACTGCTGTTTAAAGGCAGACAATGTTGTAAATCTGTTAAAGCAATCCCGTAGGATCTGGTATCTGTAATGAGGTGTGGCCCTACCTAGGCGTGAGTGTTCAATCATAACTTAAAGCAGAACTTGATTTAACCTGGTTCCCCAGAAGTTAGTAGAGGTAAGACCTTGCTGATCCAGGTGGAAACTTGCATATCCAATCTTTATTCCAGACTCAAGGTCCATATCACACAAAAAGACAAAACACACATCAATAAATAAGATAAAAAGCTAAACACAAAACAGATAAAAACAAACAGATAAAAACATAAAATCAGTCCAATCACAGCGAGCCACACATGCTCACTGTCTGTAGAGGCTGCTGCGCCAATGTCTCCAAAGCATGGAAGAGAACTGGGTAGAACTCTTCACAGGGTTAATTAAAATCGAAATAACATAATTGTCCGAGTCTACTAGGCGACACATTAATTTGTACATTAATTTTCTTAAAAGGGCTTGACAGGTAGGTACCCCCAAGTTAACAAACAGCTGGCTGGCACTGTGCCATCTTGGTACCCTCAGCAGCAACCGTAAAGCATCATTGTATGCAACTTTTAGTTTGTGTATGCTTCTAGCCTTGTAGTTACTCCACAGGTGAGCCGTGTGCAATGGTGTACAGAAAGCTTTAAAAAGTGATACCTTGACATCTACAGAGCACTTGTGAAACTTACGCATTAATATGTTTGCCTGGGCATACAGTTTGCAGCGCTGTCTATGGATGTCTTTGTCATCTGTGAGATCATCAGAAATATAATGACCAAGGTACTTGATCTCACTGCACACAAGAAGAATGTTGCTACTGAGAATAAAATGAGGAAATACAGCCTTTTTATCCTCTTTACTTCGCACAATCATGATGCATAGACTCAATAGCTTCTGATAGGTCAATTAGTAGGTCTGAATAATAAGATTAATACAGACCCGCTTACACAACAGGATCACACAAAGCTAAATGGTCAGAGTTATACTTTCAGAGACCGGCTGACAGCTTGTACAGAGAGAGATGAAAGAGATGTTTGTGCAGTGGAATGATTGCAAAGTTTTCTTGGCCACATGAGTAAGATGCTGCTTATTCCTTTCTCATCCCCCCTCCCCCACCATCCTTCTAACGGTAGCTTGTTTAGGGCCCCATCCAACACAGTTACATCGGTAACAGTACACAAACAAGAGCCAAGAGGTTTGGGAATGGTAAGTGTGGGCCAACGAGCCGTTCTGCCAGCATTTCCTCTCTCTTCCTCTCTCTTTGGAACGTTTGCAACGCTGAAACTCACGTGACATTTCTTTTTGAATTGTGGTTGAGTTGATGCTGTATATTGACATACATATTTTCTTGCGTGTCGGCGTGCGTGCCCATTCACTAAGTGTTCTCCTGAAGCTGCGTGTGCGAGCAATACTCACTGAGATTTGACTTTGTTTGCACATCTATCTGAGATTGTTGGAAACCCATTTATTCATTTATTTTCTTTTACTTTGGAAGGCAATGCACCCTCATTTTATTTTACCCCGTTAGCTATTGTTTGAATGTGGAATGATTTGATTGGTTGATTGACTTATTTATTTGAGTACATCTATTTCTTTGGTTGTTTTGATCTTAATATTGATTCTTGCAATCACTTAGAGAGACTGTTGTCTGAGTGTGAATGCTCCGTGTTGCTTTGGTCACAACAGTTCTTCTCACCTCTTGAGGTTAACTGGATGTTGCATAATGCTCCCAACATATTGCCTTCTCCCCTCCCCCAATTACATTTTCTTTGTCCGTTTTTTTCTGCTTCTCCCCCACCCCCAACGCATGAATCTTTCCGTTTAAAAAACGCCATTTTGCCGAGTGCATCTGTTGTTTCTTTACTTTTGTTTGTAAGTTATTGAAATCTCACTACATTTGGGGAGAGCATGCCGGTAATATGTCAGAAAAATAAAACTTATGCAAATGAGATAGACAACTGATTTGCTTTGAATGTGTTATCAAGTGTTTCTGAATGCAATTCTGAAAACATACAAATGACATTCTTTGTTTACAACATTGGGCCTATCTATGCATGCAGATTTATTGTAGCACTTACTGGTAACTCATAATTATCATAACTCATGGACCTGTTTTTTTATCTACCGTAGGTCAACAATGCAACAGCCCGAGTAATGACAAATAAGAAGACTGTCAACCCATATGCAAATGGTAAGGTCAAATCAGATTCTACAGCTAAATAAAGTCCAGAAATGAACCCAAAGCTCATGGTAAAAAAGGGTGAAGAATGGGTGGGGTCAGGATGTGATCAAGGCTTTTGACCGATGCAACCTTACAGAGCTTTAACTGGGACTATGAACTAAAAACCTACTGAAGCAGCATTTTTTTTTTAGCATTTATGACTTCACTATCCAAGTTCGAACATAATTCTTTAAAGGGTAATTTTTCTCTAAACATCAAGAAAGTCACTTCAACTAGTTTGAGGACGATGTAGATTTTACGAGTCACATAATAAGGTTCTTTACATCCCCACCAGAAGAAAAACATAACATTTTTCAAGGGTGTAAATATTGTATATACATACACTGCATGAATGCATGCAATGCTTTGTCTCGAAAGACCACAGTAAAAAGTGTTCAGTCAATCACATAAGATTATCGGAAAGTACATTTAACCAGTTAACCCAAGCCTGTTTTTCAGGCCTCAGGCTCGAAAATGACATTCCCAGAACAAATGACTATAACTTTACTTCTAAAAGGGATATAAATGGTTAATATTGTCTGATAGCTGAGTTTCTTCCCGTTAAGTGGGTATGACACATTCATAGTTTGTTAAATGTTAAGAAGCCCTCAGACGCTGTTTCTTGCAAGATGTTGCGTTTTGCCCCCGGGAAGAAACTCAGCTATCAGACAATATTAACAATTGTTAGTTAAACGAATTAGCCCTGAGCGAAAAAATTCTAATGCACTTAGCACAGAATTCTTTGTAACTTTATCACTTATCTGATCTGCACAAACAATATATCAGATTAAAGCTGAGATTCCACAGATTCTAGAGGTATAGGTATCATCACTCTGCAACCAAAACTTAGGGCAGCAAAGGCAAACCCAGACAACACACCACGTAGCTTTACGGAGCCAAAACGGCAAATATGTCTTACCTTTGCTGTTTTTCTGATCAAAAGTTGTGTTTAATGGCATTAAAACGATAAAAACGCTGCTGAAGGTTAACCTGTTAAACCCCATCCCCCCGCCCCCGGGCGGAAAAACGCATCATCTGCAGGAAACAGCATCTGAGGGCTTCTTAATATTTAATAAACTATGAATGTTTTATATCCATGTAACGGGAAGAAACTCAGCTAACTGATCTTTTTTTTTTTTCTTTTTTTTTTTAAAACATAAAGCTAGCGCTGAGCCTCTAAATTAGCCACAAGTGAAAAAATGCTAAAGCATTACTGCACAGAAACTCACTCATAACAACCTTATAACTTATCGTAGCTGCAAGTCCAACCCATCTATTAGCATCGTGAGGAGACACAGAATTGATTGGTACCTACATCATCACTCCATGATAAGAACTCGCGACTATATAAACAAAAACAGACATCAAAACATGTGGCGCTAGGTAGCTAAAACGGCAAAATGGCTTACCTTTGTTGTTGTCTGGTCAAAAGTGGTCTTCAATGGCATTAAAACGATAAAAACGCTGCTGAAGTTAATCCATAGGTTAATCTAATGTGTCTGTGTCCATTTGAAATGATTTCTGATAATCCATAAGCAATAAACCTGCTTTTCCGTTTCCAGATGTCAGAGCAAGAGATAGGTTCACTCTGGCCAAAACTGCAAGTGCGAAGCCCCCACTTTTTTTTGTTAACGTTGGTGTGTATGTGAAAATTCCCCTTCGATTATATTGGCTCTAACGGTTAAAAAGAGATGTCAATCACCAAAATCGACCAATGGGTTCCAGAGAAACTGCAAAAACGCCCATTTCCACCCAAATCACCTCAGCGGTGGAGTTTTTTTGCTAAACCTCTCTAAAAAGGTCAAATGTCACTTGTTTTGCATCAGTCTTGATACAGGGTACTTATTATATGTTGAACTTTGGATTCCTAAAGCTTTTAGTCTACCTTACCATCATCCAAGGGTAGTTTTCACTATAAGAAAAATATCATTTTTGGATGGACACTAAAATGTACAGTTTTTTTACTTTTTCAATCTGAATTTTCTTTAAAATAAAAAACATCTATATTGATTCTGACTTTTCTACATCCAACTCACAGGTTTATCATTGCTTTGAGAAAAAAGATTATTAATTGAACCCTTTTAGAAGTGTAGTTATGGTCATTTGTGACCTGCTCTATCGAAATCAGTCGCATTGACCCGAAGACACATTTTGAGTTGTATACACTGCTGGAAAGAGGATATTCCTAGCTTTCTAATGATATCAGGATTGTTGTTGTACTCCAGATATTAAGCGAAATATGTCACATTATATAATGACTGTCACCGAGTCATCATTTTGAGAAAAAGGCCTTCAAAGTTTCCTCTTCTCTGGAATCCATCGATCTGATTGATTATTAGCGGAGCAAATGATCAAAATACTACTGAGGGAAGATATTTTCGTTTGGAGGGGAAGCTTGCGAGTGTGTGTGTGTGTGTGTGTGTGTGTGTGTGTGTGTGTGTGTGTGTACATGTGTGTGTGTGTGTGTAATTTTGCGTTTGTGTGTATTGTGTTTGTTTCCTGGGGAAAACCCTCACGAGAAACACCGGCTGTTGTTATGCTTGCTGTGACGTTAAGTTACTCCGTTCTCCGTTTGTAATTATGCCGAAGCTTCAAAGTTGTATTTATCATCAGAATTTGCCGAAACAAGTTTAATATTCTGAAAGCCAAGACTTTGTTTAATTGAAATCAGATGAAAACAAACTGTAACGGACCCTGCCGTGTTATCTATGATTACTATACTCTTACATTCATAATTTTAGCCGGAGGGAGGGGGGCGGCGCTACGGAAGAGCAGATTGCGAGGGAGAGGTGCCTGTCTTCGTCCCTTTACAAGCTTCAAAAATGTATTTATCGTGTGATTTTGGAAATAAAAGTTTCATATTCTGAAGGCCAAGACTTTGTTTATTTAAAATCAAACAAAACACCCGAACCCCGAAAAAATAGTTTTTTACGCAAATCCACGTTTATTTTTAAATGAGCCGTTGCGACTTCTGACTGATTTCGATAGAGCGGGTCACATATGAGGTCCTTGGCGCTCAGACTTTAGAGGGGTCATTTTGTGATCATGGGGCATCACCCTTACAGCATCAGGACAATACCATATGGAGTCAGACACTGGAAGTGTGCTGGAGGCTGAGGAAGGATGAGGCTGATGAGACTGAAGAATCTGCGAGGTACGAACTAGCGGCAGAGGAGTAGTTATATATTAAAAGACAGCAGCATCATAAGAGGGCAACCATGTGACAGAGTGTGTTACTTTGCTGAAGGATATTTGTGACCAGCTATCCAGGCCAGACTCTAAAGACTTTCCAAGCTGTACAAATGCCGCTGCTGGAGTACTGACTGGAAGTATTGCTGATATCATGCCTACCATCCTCTTAAAATACTCCGTCCAACAATGTCAGTCTCAGGAAGAAATGTTTTTTAACGCATATTAAAAGAAAAACATCCATTCTTGTAGGGAGGGGACATTGATAGAGGATTACTGGAAAAGTACACAATAAGTACTTCATAGTACTTGTGGGGGTAGTTTCAGTAGTACTGAGTCCAACAGGATCAATCTCACGAAGAATTAATGGCAATACAAATAATTCCCTCATCAAACTTAGCAGAAGTGGCTTGATTTTGTTCTCAGCAGGGGATTTTGACAGAGTATTCCACAAAAAATACACAGTAAAAGTACTTCGATGTATTGTAAGTAGTAGGCTCACTAATACAAAGTCAAACAGTATCAATTTCATTAAGAACTAATGGTAACATTTTATTTGTATCATTCATCAAAGATAGCAGAAAACATGCATTACTATGGAGGGGACTCTGACAGAGGATTACTTACAAAGTACACAGTAAAGTACTTCATTTTATTTCTGGTAGCAGTCAACTAGTACCGAGTCCAACAGTGTCAGTTTTATTAAGAACTTGTGGTAAAAAATATTTGTATCACTCATTGAATATAACAGGAAAGAAAATGAAGAGTGCAGAATCGCTGTGTGGTTTAAATCTCCTTAGTTACAATGTTGTCCATTTTAGACAAAGGCTTATTATATTTAAAGCCCTAATAACATACATTTTCTGGGCTCAATATGGGTCTCGGCTGTTTTCGTTGTGATCGCTAAATTCACCTTGTTCAAACACTGACCCAGATCGCTGGATCGCTAGAAACACCGCTGTCATCAGGCTGGCAAGGGCTGTTCCACGCTCTGCTCAACCTCCCGCCTTCCCAATGGACTCAGTAGCGCCCCCTGCTGCCGTGGAGCATGTGCCCATAGATATATATATATCTATGCATGTGCCGGCCCCTGCGGAATATTACTGCCAAAAGTCACGTGACTTTTGGCAGTAATATTTCGCCGTGAGAAGAAAACGTTTTGTACTTGTAAAAACAAGTTTTGTACTTGTAAAAAAAAGTGTTGTAGTTGTAAAAAAAAATGTGTGTACTTGTAAAACCTATGCTGAATTTGTCTCTGAAACATGATTTATTAGAAAAATGGTATGTGTTTATTTGATAGATACGTTTTTTCTTTGCAAAACTAAATGCATTAGTTTGTAGATGGTGTTTTGTATTTGCAAACCACATTGTGTTAGTGAATCATGAGGCATTTGTAAAACCTGTTTAGTTTGTTTGTGGAGTTATGGCAGGAAATTAGCTCCATCGGCGGCGCTGCGGAAGAGCAGATTGCGAGTGAGAGCTGTCATCTTTCCTTTACAAGCTTTAAAAATGTATTTATTGTGTGATTTTGGAAATAAAAGTTTCATATTCTGAAAGCCAAGACTTTGTTTGTTTAAAATCAAACAAAACACCCGAACCCCGAAAAAATAGTTTTTTACGCAAATCCACGTTTATTTTGAAATGAGCGGTTTTGCGACTTCAGACTGATTTCGATAGAGCGGGTCACAATTGTTCTGGAAATGTCATTTTTGAGCCTAAGACCTGAAAAACAGGGATGGGGTTCAACAGGTTAATCCAATGTCTCTGTGTCCCTTTGAAGT